GGATATGAAATTATATTGTTTTTTCTTAAACAAATATTGATAAGAAATGATATAATAAATATAAATAAATTAACATTTATTATATCAAAATTATCATCTATTTCTTTTTTATTAACTCAAAAAAATTATTTCTCAAGTGATTTCAACAATTATACAAAAGAATGAATTGAAAACAGATCTTTTTATACAAATTATTACTAAATATATAGAAAATATCAAAACAATTTCTGATTTTAATATAAATCCAGAACCTTATATTATAGGAATTGGATTTTTCATTAATATGATTTCACTTGTATTAGAACAAGATGATATAAAGAAATATTGTCAATCAAATATTCATCAAATATTAATTCATCTTATCAATACATTTATTATTTTTAAAGATTATTGTATAAAATATTATTGTTTTAGAAATGTAAGTTATCAATTTGGGAGATTAATTAATAAAATAAACACTATAATTAATGAAGAAGAAATTCAACAAATTAATCATCGATTTGATGTATCAGAATCTTTTAATCAATTCATCATTAATCAAGAATTTTACAAAGGAATCTTCTCAATAAAAACACAAAATGAAGTAATAAATAAACAATTTGTACAATATTGGAAATATATTGTTGAAACATTAAAAATATCAAAAAGAACAAGTTATATAATTACATTCTTATTCTACAATAAAGAAATTATAAAAAGAATTAATAATAAAACAAAAGAAATATGTATTAAAGAATATTTGAAAGAGAGTAATAATATTGTAGAATGGCAAAATAAAGGAGAAGAATGGGAACATATTATCTTTTATTGTTGTTTTTTGATGATGATTCAGAATAATAAAATAATGATGAGTGAAGAAGAAGAAGAGAAAATGGCAGATACAATAAAATTTATTCTAAAAGGGTATCAAAAAATAGGAAGAGATATAAAAATTGTAGAAAGAATTAGAAATACAGAAATAGATATTGATAGAATGATAAAGAGAGAAGAAATAAAAGGAAGAATAAGATATGAAGAAAGAGAGAAAATAGAAATAAATAAGAACGAAGAATATAAATCTATAAGAAGAAATGAAAAGAAAGAAGAGAAAGAATAAAATAATTGAAACAGAAGGAAATGTTGGACGACCAATGAAAATGACAATAACACTTAAAGAAATTTATATTGAAAGTGGAAAAATAATCATTCAAGAAGTTACTAATATATTAAATAAAAAAGAAGAAATAAAAGAAAAATATATTGATATAATGGTAAATCTATTATTTTATATTCCAATGAGAAATGATTATTTAGATCAACTCATTAATGGAATAGATAAAATAATAATAAGAGAAAATATAGATTATTTGAAAATAAAAATATTTTCATTTCCTTTAATTAGAAATATCATAAAAATGATGAATGATAAAGAAAAGACAATTAGAGAGAAATGTTATAAATATTATAAAAGAATACTTGAAATAGATTATAAATATCATAAAACACTTTCAAATACAACATATTATTCAATTACAGCAATTACAGAACTTCAATTAAAAGAAAGTATAATGTTAGAAGAAACATTAGAAGCAGAAATAAAGAATAAAGAAGAAAAGAGTTTATTTAAAAATGATATAAATAAAGTTATCTTTCAAATAAAGAATTTTAAATGTTTCACATGATTAATTAAATGGACAATATAAACAGATA